CAGCACTCATCCATGGGCAGAGGAACAAGTGGAAGAACCAGCACTCATCCATGGGCAGAGGAAGAAGTGGGAGAACCAGCACTCATCCATGGGCAGAGGAAGAAGTGGGAGAACCAGCACTCATCCATGGGCAGAGGAACAAGTGGAAGAACCAGCACTCATCCATGGGCAGAGGAAGAAGTGGGAGAACCAGCACTCATCCATGGGCAGAGGAAGAAGTGGGAGAACCAGCACTCATCCATGGGCAGAGGAAGAAGTGGGAGAACCAGCACTCATCCATGGGCAGAGGAACAAGTGGAAGAACCAGCACTCATCCATGGGCAGAGGAAGAAGTGGGAGAACCAGCACTCATCCATGGGCAGAGGAAGAAGTGGGAGAACCAGCACTCATCCATGGGCAGAGGAAGAAGTGGGAAAACCAGCACTCATCCATGGGCAGAGGAAGAAGTGGGAGAACCAGCACTCATCCATGGGCAGAGGAAGAAGTGGGAGAACCAGCACTCATCCATGGGCAGAGGAAGAAGTGGGAGAACCAGCACTCATCCATGGGCAGAGGAAGAAGTGGGAGAACCAGCACTCATCCATGGGCAGAGGAAGAAGTGGGAGAACCAGCACTCATCCATGGGCAGAGGAACAAGTGGAAGAACCAGCACTCATCCATGGGCAGAGGAAGAAGTGGGAGAACCAGCACTCATCCATGGGCAGAGGAAGAAGTGGGAGAACCAGCACTCATCCATGGGCAGAGGAAGAAGTGGGAGAACCAGCACTCATCCATGGGCAGAGGAACAAGTGGAAGAACCAGCACTCATCCATGGGCAGAGGAAGAAGTGGGAGAACCAGCACTCATCCATGGGCAGAGGAAGAAGTGGGAGAACCAGCACTCATCCATGGGCAGAGGAAGAAGTGGGAGAACCAGCACTCATCCATGGGCAGAGGAAGAAGTGGGAAAACCAGCACTCATCCATGGGCAGAGGAAGAAGTGGGAGAACCAGCACTCATCCATGGGCAGAGGAAGAAGTGGGAGAACCAGCACTCATCCATGGGCAGAGGAAGAAGTGGGAGAACCAGCACTCATCCATGGGCAGAGGAACAAGTGGAAGAACCAGCACTCATCCATGGGCAGAGGAAGAAGTGGGAGAACCAGCACTAGACAGATCATCATGCTGGAGATGAACGAAGAGGAGAACAGCTTCTCACAACATCTCCTCGATTCTTGTTTGTTCTCTAAAACCTTCCTCGTAAAATAATTACAAACACGGCAGTATCCAGGTGTTAAACCAGTGGAAGTAGTAGAAGTAGTAGTAATAGTAACGGAAGTAATAGTAGCAGTCGTATCAGTAGCAGCAGCAGTAGTAGTAGTAGTGATGATTGTTTTGAAGATAACTCTTGCTAATTCTTCAGAGATGACGAATGTGTCTTTTCCGCTTAATATAGTTTGAACTGGTGATTAAGGATCCTTGTTACCTATATATACTTTATTTGTTACTTCACTGTTTGTAACAACTAAATGCAGCACTTGTTTATGTGCCTCTTGTCTACAATATTTATAATACAACAGTTTAATATTATTGGCGGTGGTAACTCCTCTCTCCTACCCCCACTCCTACCCTCCCCACACACACATGAAGCCAGCGTTACACAGACACTCGAGGTGGTAACTCCTCTCTCCTACCCCCACTCCTACCCTCCCCCCACACACATGAAGCCAGCGTTACACAGACACTCTCGGTGGTAACTCCTCTCTCCTACCCCCACTCCTACCCTCCCCACACACACATGAAGCCAGCGTTACACAGACACTCGCGGTGGTAACTCCTCTCTCCTACCCCCACTCCTACCCTCCCCACACACACATGAAGCCAGCGTTACACAGACACTCTCGGTGGTAACTCCTCTCTCCTACCCCCACTCGTACCCTCCCACACACACATGAAGCCAGCGTTACACAGACACTCGAGGTGGTAACTCCTCTCTCCTACCCCCACTCCTACCCTCCCCCCACACACATGAAGCCAGCGTTACACAGACACTCTCGGTGGTAACTCCTCTCTCCTACCCCCACTCCTACCCTCCCCACACACACATGAAGCCAGCGTTACACAGACACTCTCGGTGGTAACTCCTCTCTCCTACCCCCACTCCTACCCTCCCAACACACACATGAAGCCAGCGTTACACAGACACTCTCGGTGGTAACTCCTCTCTCCTACCCCCACTCCTACCCACCCACACACACATGAAGCCAGAGTTACACAGACACTCTCGGTGGTAACTCCTCTCTCCTACCCCCACTCCTACCCTCCCCACACACACATGAAGCCAGCGTTACACAGACACTCTCGTTTGTCAGTGTATATGATCAACACTGAGAGCTTACTTTAATATTTATTTAAGGAATAATGATATTTATAATGTTACTTAAGAACATTACATAAATTCCATTTAAATACATCAGGTTTTATTCTGTTATTTGTATAACCAATTTTTAAGTTTTTCAAGCAAATAGAATCAGTAACCCTAATAACTTATTCTAGAAGAAGATTAATGAAGATTGAGACACTTATGCAGCATATGGGAATCTTTATTCAGGAAACGTTTCGCCACACAGTGGCTTCTTCAGTCCAATACAAAGAGGAAGGCATAAGGAGAGGAGGAGTATGAGGTAATCAGTCCCTCAGCCTGGAGTCGATGTGTCTATCAATCTTGTAGAATGTACAGCATAGGGCCGTAGACGTGACTTATATACTGTAGTGAGGTGAGGTGAAGCAGGCGGAGGCGGGGTCATAGTGGTACCATCCACTTTCGCCACTGTGTGGCGAAACGTTTCCTGAATAAAGATTCCCATATGCTGCATAAGTGTCTCAATCTTCAACTTGTCGGTTTTTCAAACCATTCATCACAAGAAGATTAATGTAGTTTATTGTTCTGTACTGGTGAATTGACATCATCAACTACTTATTGTACAGGTGACAGGCCACAACCCAAATTAAAAGTGAAAATTGGTCTGTCATGTCAACTTTCCATCCAGTAGTCAATCATGAGGGATTGAAGATGGAACATTGTGTCCAAGTAATGTTTGCAACGGAATGTCATAGCTCCCGGAGAACGATAAACGTTGCCACAATAAAATGTCACATTGCATCTGAGTCCATTTACTTAACATCAAAAATATGCTTTAGCTGAGTAGATATGACAGATCCAAACCACGGCACAGACGGGAGTTGAACCCGCGTTGTTAACCAGTCACCATCGTCGTTACAAACTGTGCTGATTCATTCATAAAAATAAGAGTTGACTTCTATATTTACTATATCTTAGTTACTAGATGTTATTTCTGCACAGGTGAGAGTGTCTACCTGGAGAGTTTACCTGGAGAGAGTTCCGGGGGTCAACGCCCCCGCGGCCCGGTCTGTGACCAGGCCTTGTCTAGGAACTTTTTCCCGCAGCAGTACCTATCTTTAGAAATACTATTATTTTATTTATTTACATAGGACTTATAAATTACCATAATATTATCTGAAAGCTTACTGTTATGAGCGAAACGACGGTGATAAATGACATGATTCTAATTCTAGAGATAGATCGTCCTAAGTAGAATTTGTGATACTGACATGATGAAGGTCTACTGAGCACTGTAAATAATGGTTTCTTTGCACATAGAGGCAGTGTTCAGTTACCAAAGAAAATCATCAGCCACTATGACTCACGAAATCGTAATGACACGATTGCGACGGGCTGGAGTTTTGAGACTCTCTGACCGCGAGTTCAATCCCGACCGGGGTATGATCAGCCACTATCATGTTGCCGTTATCTGTGAATATATATATATAACTTTTGCCTGTGACCTTGAACTAGATACTATAAAAATCACTTGAGTAAAGTACTGAATCATTATTATTTCAAGATATCTGTGTGGGGTGTAAGATGTAAAGGACATTGTAGTCATCTACACAGCGGGATCAAGCAAACTGTTACTCTCAATCAAGAAAATATTCAACATTCTCTGCAGTTTCTCAAAGCAGCTTTCGCGAAACTTACTGAAGTAAATTAGTAAGCTATTTTTCTATCAAATCTTTTTAAACTAGAAAATTAAGTAAAAGTTATCAGATAACAGTATTTATATCTTGTAATATCTTCAATAATTTTCTGCAGATAAACAAAGAATTCTTAATTTTCTGTTTACATGCAAACAATATTCTGTAGAAGGTAATACGAAATGGTTATAATCGTAAGCATAAATTTTAAAGGGGTAAACAAGTAAGCCAGTGGAAGGCCTCAGTCAGATGACCAAAAGCTCCAGTGGTGGGTCATCATATGACTGAGAGCAGCGTCTGGAAACACTTTCCTTGATCGACTTTCAATCTCAAAAACTGATGTATCTTATTAGAGAAGGTCTGGATAGGCACCAATATGGAAGTTTAATGGAAGAAATTAATAACATTGTTATTCTGATTTTCCTGCTAAAATCTGTGAATGCATCTTCTGACTGGCTTGAAATCTTGAACTTTTACATGTAATTCCATTAGAAAATTACGCTTCACTCTATTCTGATTCTTTTGTGTACATTAAGGGACGCTTAAGTACCCCTGTCTTCTAATAACATGTTCATTTTCCCACTATAATCTACCTTGTCTATAATTAAGATCCTGGAATTCACCTTACGAAACAGACAAAAGAAACGCTATAGTAATTATGGACAAGGTAGAAAAATGAACTTGTTATTAGAAGACAGGGGTCCCTACGTGCCTCTTAAGAAACGAGAACTGACATCCAGAAGTACAGGGAAACATTTCTTGGATCATTCAAGGATTGACACACTTGTAGTTATGTTACTTATTTGCAACTTATTCTTTCTCATATGTTTAGGTCGAGAGACGTTGCGAATACCTTTTAATTATTATTCATGTATAATATCATTCACTGGTGGAGGTTCTTCACTCTATAAGGCTTATGGAACACAGTACGTGAGAGGATTTGCTGGAGGAAATGACTGAAAACATATTCTAGGCTAAATAAATTTTATTCAGTTTTTGTTTTAGAGCTGGAAAAACAGAGCCAGAAAAACAAGGAAACTATAAGTCGTATAGAGACGTAGGTGAGAATGATGAACAGCAGAGTCACTGTTGCCCACACGTCCACATTATACAATTGATACCTGAAATTATAAGTCTTCGTTAGACTAGAAAACATTTCTTCATTAAACTGAAAAAGGTAAAGAAAAATAAATAAGTAAGTGTAATTAAGTAAAATAAGAAACGTTATATGAGACACTTGCTTTCATCACGACTCTCCTTGGGAATGTCAGCATCAGAATCAAAGATATATGTAAACTTTCTAACTTACCATTAGTGTTAACCTAAAAAACAACAATAATTTCAGTATAGAAAACTTTTCATCTAAATACACACACACACACACACACACACACACACACACACACACACACACACACACACACACACACACACACACACACACACACACACACACACACACACACACACACACATATATATATATATATATATATATATATATATATATATATATATATATATATATATATGCAAGGCAAGCAACGAGGATTGGAAATCTTTAGCTCAAGTACTTTCACACTTCTCATTGCGTCATCAGGAGCTGTGCAATGTTGCAAAGGCAACAACAGGAGAAGTAGGGTAAGTTTTCAGAATATGGTAGTGTTGAGGCACCAGCCAGTCTCTGTCTGAGGTTATGTTAGGTTCGTCAGGAAACAGGACAAGTGTCTCCTGACGCAGGTCATAGTCAGATAATGACCCGTCGTTAGAGCTTTTGATCATCTAACTGAGGCCTACCGCTGGTTTACCGGTCTGAGAGAGGCAAGAGGGATGCCAACCACACACCAGTCCTCCCCCAACACCCCACCCCATATGGGGTCGGGTGGGGTAGGCCTCACAATTTGCAGATAGCATGAGGAAAAGTACTAGAAGATAGTTAATAGCCAGCTCTAAGCTTCTAACCGCTTGGAACAGGTCATGTGACGGGAATAGTTTCATTACATTAGAGGTTCATTACATACCTTCATTTACAACCTTCAAACTAATGAAATAGAAGGAAAAATCCCTCATTTTGTCAACAGATGTTGTAGTACATTCCAGAATATTCAGGAAATACTCTCAGTGTCAGTTAATATACCTGTGTGAATTCTCCTATTCTGGCTTCTTTTCTTGTAATAACTAGGTTATTATTATTATTATTATTATTATTATTATTATTATTATTATTATTATTATTATTATTATTATTATTATTATTATTATTACTACTACTATAATTCATCAATCCCGAGTCATACTGACCAAGTCATGGTGGAAGCAGGAGAGCGGAGGTGTGGGGCGCCCTTATGTCTGATAACATACTTGGTCCAGTAGAGGGCCACCTCTCCTGGGTCTTGTGGACGATCTCTCAGGACTTTGGACCTTCTTGCTACCTCAGCTCTCATGCTGCATTGTCACCCACAACCCAAATTTTTGTTTTATTTATTTGATTCACAAATAGCATCATCACTCAGATCATTACAGAAATATCACATCATGTATGTAAGCTAATCTTTCAAGACAGAGGAGCCTTAATTCTGAGGAAGGCACCATCTCTCTCCATATATCAAGCCTAATAGTCCCATATTTCCCAGATGCCATATGACATCAATATAATATAAGTACCTACACTCACCTATTCTCTATTTCCCTTCTGGTTTTAACACTTTACGTTTTCTGTAAATGTATTCTGTTTATTAATAAATGATCACATAGAATATAAAATATAGGGGGTGGAAGGAGAAGAAAATATTCAAACAACTCCGGGGAGAACCTTGAGTTTTCCCTGAGGTACGTTTATAAGATAAGATAAGATTTCGTTCGGATTTTTAACCCCGGAGGGTTAGCCACCCAGGAAAGCCAGTGCGTCATCGAGGACTGTCTAACTTATTTCCATTGGGGTCCTTAATCTTGTCCCCCAGGATGCGACCCACACCAGTCGACTAACACCCAGGTACCTATTTGCTGCTAGGTGAACAGGACAACAGGTGTAAGGAAACGTGTCGAAATGTTTCCACCCGCCGGGAATCGAACCTGGGCCCTCCGTGTGTGAAGCGGGAGATTTAAGCACCAGGCCACCGGGCCCTATTGTCTTCTCTGAGGATGAGGCTCCCCATTCCAGCTATAGAGGTGGTACCTCCCTATATATTTAAAATATATATATATATATATATATAATATATATATATATATATATATATATATATATATATATATATATATATATATATATATATATATATATATAATATATATATATATAAACAACCACTCATCAATGTTTTTGAGAGCTTTACGAATTTGTAGTCCTGAGTTCATAGATGAGGAAATATCCAAAATTTATGAAATAGGTAATGATTTAAAATACCCAAGAAATGTAATTGATAAATCTTTTAAAGTTGCTAGAAATACTTTCTACAATCCAAAAAGGGACAACCAGCCTTATTCAACTAAAAATATGTTGGTTCTCCCTTACCATGAAAACTTGGTTGATATGCCTTCTCTTCTTAAGACTTTTAATATTAAAGTTGTATTCAAAAATCTTGATACAGTAAAAAAACTTTTGATAAAGAATTCCCCCCAAAATGCTGATGGATATGTCTATAAGATTCCTTGTAAAATTTGCGATAAAGTTTATTACGGTCAAACTGGTAAAAATCTCGAACTAAGATTAAAGCAACATAAATATAGCATTAGAACTGGACAAGATTCCAATGCTCTATTTATTCATGTAAGAGATTTTAACCATCCAATTGATTTTCAAAAAGTTGAGAAAGTAGTATCAAGCAAGTCCATGGTCGACAGGAATACAATTGAATCTTGTTTCATAAAAAGCAGTTTTGACAATAATATGAATATTTCCTTTGGTTTATATAAATTAGATCCATTTATAATTAATAGAATTTGGGAAGAATTTAATAATACACTGGACAAATAATAATTTTTAAATTTTCTTGGGTAGAATAGTTTGTGGGTGAGTTGTGCAAAGGACCTATCCAGTTAGGTCGGCGCGCGTCAGGTGTTTAACCGTTGTGGGATCTGATAGTGAGGTGTTGGCCAGACCCCTTATATGCCTTCCTTGGATGCTTTACTTTCATAGTTCCTTGATAATGTGAGTAGTCACGAAACGCTTGGAATTTCTCTATTCTTTCAGAGTGGTTGTTTTGCATATTCTGAAATCACCTGTTTACTGTGATCTTATTGCATATATATATATATATATATATATATATATATATATATATATATATAATATATATATATATATATATAATATATATATAATATAATATATATATATATATGTCGTGCCGAATATGTAAAACTGGTCAATTAGCAAGAACTCATTTAAAATTAAGTCCTTTCTAAAATTTTCTCTTATACATTTAAAGATATATTTTTTTCATTAATGTTAATGTTAAAATTTTTAATTTTGCTCCAAAAGAATCTTAGAAAACTTACCTAACCTTATTACAACAAGAACAATTTATTTTAGCCTAACCCAACTAAATATATTTTAGATTTGTTTACAATAATTTAATGCTAAACAAACACAGTGAAATATATTTTTTTCGTTAGGTTCAGAATGATTTTGGCGAAATTATTGCATACACAAATTTTCACTTGTCCTATATGGCAAGTTGAGCGTTGCTATTTAAGCCAAGATCGCAAGTTCTGCCTATTCGGCACGACATACATATATATATATATAATATTAATATATATATATATATATATATATATATATATATATATATATATATATATATATATATATATATATTATATATATTCATATTCCTGTAATTTAGTGTGAACTTTGGATCCATGTCTCTTATTCTCAAAGTTCTCAGAATGTAGAAATTCAATGCCTTGAAAAACATCCAATTTCCTTATATCCATTATTATATCTCCCTTTCATTATTCTTCTCAGATATCTAACATAATTTTTAACTGTATCACATGCACTCGTTAGACCTTGATATGTTCCGTTCAGAAGATGAACTGGAAAATGTATGTCACAGTATGCATGGAGAGAACTAGGGAATGAATGATATTAAATGTCCTTACCTTCTTTGTCATTCTTGTACTGGAAAAAATTACGCCTTGAAGCAATAAAGCCACAATACCTTTCATCATTCATGATGATGTTGATCGTATTCTTGAGATTATCAAAGGTAAGTTCCTTCCAGAGAAGCACTCTGCCCCATCCTTCCCTCTGCACAGTGTTCATGTTGGAATGTTGGTCAGCAAACACAGGCATCCCCAGTACCGTCACACCGTGGTACATAGACTCCTGGGTGCTCAACAACCCACCGTGTGTGATAAACAAACTCAAACGAGGGTCGCCTGTGCCAAAAAAGCAATTAGAATTAGATTTTCTCGTCTTTCTTCTTCTTATTATTATTAATTTTATTTTTATTATTCATTTCATTACTATTATTAATATAGACAGTAAGCCTACTCTTGTTCTAATACTCCCCCCAAGGAGCGAGTTACTGTGGGCCTAGTTTCCTGAGTGCCCACCAGAGGGTAGGTTCTCAAATTCGACTTACCCGGCCATGCCTTTTTCTCACTCCTAGACTCCTGGACTTCCTGTTAACAGCTCCCCTCCCAGACTGGCCTCGGCACACTTCACACTACCCGCTGTGAACCCCATTATTCCAATAAAGAAGTTGCTCAACGGCCATATATCTCACCAAGCTCACTCACATACTTGACAGCCTAGAGACAACAAGTGTACTCTCTCCCTCGCGTGCTTGTGCTGGCACTCTGGGCCGCCTTAACACACTCTTTGTGTACCGACAACTCAAATATAGTAACACGTGACCTTGAAGAGTGCCTTTCATTCCCGCTACCAGATGCACATACAAATTATATTATTATTATTATTATTATTATTATTATTATTATTTATTATTATTATTATTATTATTAGATATTCGTTTTGTCATCATTATTCTTAAAATTATTATTATTATTTTAACTCTGGGGGAAACATACTGAAGGTTCCAAATATTGTAGTAGTTTCTGAGAGGAGAACATTTTAATAATGGACATTGTTGCTAATTTTTCTCCGGTAAGTCATAGGAGTTTTTACTTGAAACTCTGTGATGCAGGAATTTTATTTTCGTTTATAGTACCTTATTTTTTGCATTATATTGAATGTAAATAGATGAGCCTGATTAAAACCATACTGAGTCTAAAAGACTTAAGAAATCGTAATGACACGATTGCAAATAAACCATACCCCAGGCCGGGATTGAACCCGCGGTCAGAGAGTCTCAAAACTCCAGCCCGTCGCGTTAGCCACGTCGCGTTAGCTGGTCTAGTGGCTAACGCGACGGGCTGGAGTTTTGAGACTCTATGACCGCGGGTTCAATCCCGGCCGGGGGTATGGTTTTTTTTTCTGAGTCTAAAAAATTGTTTTGTTTAAGGAGTTTACGACGTCCAGATATAATTCAATAATAAAATATTAATAAAATACTAAACATTATTTTTATCATCATTACTTATATAATAACTTATATAATAACTTAATATATAATGTTAATTTTTTTGAGCATGGCTTAATTGTTTTTATTTTGAGATACGTCAAAATAAATTTGAATTTCCAAATATTTATGAGTCGAAATTTTCAAGCGATGGACCTGGAACGTCAACTCCCAGAGTCAACACCATATTTGGATGCTAGTGTAAGAATAAACTTAAGATTTACTTACCAAGAATATCTTGTTGTGGGAGCCACTTGCCAAGACGGACATTAGGAGGCAGGTCATCCATAGTGTTTTTATCCCACTTCCACAAGACTCTCTGCTGGAGGGAGGCAAACACTTGAACCAAGATAGTGCGGTACCTGCATGTATAGTAAGTAAGATGTAGCTATAACCGCAGTAAATTTATGAAGATTATGAACACAAAGAAACAAGATGGAGAACAAACTTTATTAAAACAACGTATCACTCTGAGTAGTGCTTTATAAAGTCATGATAAAGTTCTACAGTGAGCAAACTTTACTTGTCAGAAATAAAACTTGTTCTACAACTTGTGTAAATTGTGTCAGTAATTAGTCATTTTCTCTGAGAAAGTATCTACAGAAGTGGAGTTAATAGAGAGTAATCTAGATAATAGGTATTTAAGTATCCAGTTAACACAATTACAAGTAAAGATGCATTAGTTAAACAAGATGTTTACATCTTTATTAGAAATTCAAAAAATAAAAATGATAAGAAATCACGGAAGAATAAAAATAGATTTTCCTGCGAAAAGATTCCTGCATGAGAGTCTTTCAGTGATTTTTTAAGGAAATCTTACGGGACAATGTAGGATTGTCAAGTCATATGCATGTAAGTTTTTTATTATTAAATTTAATATCAATTTCACGCAGAGGAAAAAACTATAAGAACAGGAAATTTACACTAATTATTGATTTTAAATTATAACTGCAAAAAAATTAATTTCTAAATAAAAATGAAGATATGCGAGAGATGTATAGTGAGAAGCTGAGACACAGAGTTGGTGAGTGCAGGTCGAGGACCACAGTGTATTGGTTCTGTACTTAACACTGAGACACAGATCAACCCCAGTGCAACCAAGCACTCTAAACCAAAACACCCATGCCACATCCATTGCCCCCACCCACTGCATTACAAACTTCACCCCCACAGCAACCACCCGTAGTTCCTTATCAGGTCTCCCACTTCCCCAACCCCAATACACCTCCCAGACCACAGTCTTAGAGAAGAAGTTGAAGGTGTGGTATACAAATGCAGATGGAATAACAAATAAGTATGAGGAGTGGCACGAAAGAATCAAGGAGACATCCCCAGACATAATAGCACTCACAGAAACAAAACTCACTAGAATAATAACAGATTCAATCTTTCCATCCGGATATCAAATCCTCAGGAAAGACAGAGGGAGGAGAGGGGAAGGAGGAGTTGCACTGCTCATTAAAAACCAGTGGGGTTTTGAGAAAATGGAAGGATTGGATGGCACGGGCGAAAGGGACTACTTACTAGGAACAATCCAGTTTGAGGGAAATAAGATGATAATTACAGTAATGTACAACCCACAACAGAAATGCAGGAGGCCAAGAGAAGACTACGATGAGAGCAACAGAGCAATGGTCGACACACTAGCCGAGGTGGCCAGGAGAGCACACATGGGGGTTGCAAAGTTACTAGTTATGGGTGATTTCAATCACAAGGAGATTGACTGGGAAAACCTGGAGCCTGATGGGGGTCCCGAAACATGGAGAGCCAAGATGATGGACGTGGTACTGGAAAACCTCATGCATCAGCATGTTAGAGACACTACCAGAGAGAGAGGAGAGGATGAACCAGCAAGACTGGACCTTGTATTCACCTTGAGTAGTTCGGACATCGAGGATATCATGTATGAAAGGCCCCTGGGAGCTAGTGATCATGTGGTTCTGTGCTTCGACTACATAGTTGAGCTCCAGGTGGAGAGAGTAGCAGGAATAGGGTGGGAAAAACCAAACTACAAAAGGGGGAACTACTCAGGCATAAGGAACTTCCTTCAAGACATTCAGTGGGAGAGGGAACTGACAGGAAAACCAGTACAAGAAATGATGGACTATGTGGCAACAAAATGCAAGGAGGCAGAGGAGAGGTTTGTTCCCAAGGGATACAGAAATAATGGGAAGAACAGAACGAGTCCTTGGTTCACCCAGAGGTGTAGGGAGGCAAAAACTAGTTGTACTAGAGAATGGAAAAGGTACAGAAGACAGAGAACTTACGAAAATAAAGAGATTAGCCGAAGAGCCAGAAACGAATATGCACAGATAAGAAGGGAGGCTCAGCGACGATATAAAAATGACATAGCATTAAAAGTCAAGACTGACCCGAAGCTGTTGTACAGCCACATCAGGAGGAAAACAACAGTCAAGGACCAGGTAATTAGACTGAGGAAGGGCGATGGGGAATTCACAAGAAACGACCTAGAGGTATGTCAGCAGCTCAACATGAGATTTAAAGAAGTATTTACAGTGGAAACCAGTAGGACTCCAGGAAATCAGAACAGGGGGGTACACCAGCAAGTGCTGGATGAGGTACTTATAACCAAGGAGGAGGTGAAGAAGCTGCTATGCGAACTTGACACCTCAAAGGCGGTGGGACCAGACAACATCTCTCCGTGGGTCCTTAAAGAGGGAGCAGAGATATTGTGTGTGCCAGTAACAAAGATCTTCAAAACATCATTTGAAACTGGGCAACTCCCTGAGGTATGGAAGATGGCAAATGTAGTCCCAGTTTTTAAAAAGGGAGATAGACATGAGGCACTAAACTACAGACCTGTATCACTAACGTGTATAGTATGCAAGGTCATGGAGAATTCATCAGGAGGAGAGTGGTGGAGCACCTGGAAAGAAACAAGTGTATAATTGACAACCAGCACGGTTTCAGGGAAGGAAAATCCTGTGTCACAAACCTACTAGAGTTTTATGACAAGGTGGCAGAAGTAAGACAAGAGAGAAAGGGGTGGATCGACTGCATTTTTTTGGACTGCAAGAAGGCCTTCGACACAGTTCCTCACAAGAGGTTACTGCAAAAGCTAGAGGATCAGGCACACATAACAGGAAAGGCACTGCAATGGATCAGAGAATACCTGACAGGGAGGCAACAACGAGTCATGGTACGTGACGAGGTGTCAGAGTGGGCGCCTGTGACAAGCGGGGTTCCACAGGGGTCAGTCCTAGGACCTGTGCTGTTCTTGTTATATGTGAACGACATAACGGAAGGGATAGACTCAGAAGTGTCCTTGTTTCCAGATGATGTGAAGTTAATGAAAAGAATCAAATCGGATGAGGATCAGGCAGGATTACAAAGTGACCTGGAGAGGCTACAAGCCTGGTCCAGCAACTGGCTCCTTGAGATTAACCCTGCCAAGTGCAAAGTCATGAAGATTGGGGAAGGGCAAAGAAGACCGCAGACACAATGTAGTTTAGATGGCCAAAGACTGCAAACCTCACTCAAGGAAAAAGATCTGGGGGTGAGTATAACACCGAGCATATCTCCTGAGGCGCACATCAATCAGATAACTGCTGCTGTATACGGGGGTCTGGCAAACTTACGGATAGCGTTCCGATACCTCAGTAAGGATTCGTTCAAGACTCTGTATACCATTTACGTCAGGCCCATACTGGAGTATGCAGCACCAGTTTGGAATCCACACCTAGTCAAGCACGTCAAGAAATTACAGAAAGTGCAAAGGTTTGCAACAAGACTAGTCCCAGAGCTACGGGGATTGTCCTACGAAGAAAGGTTGAGGGAAATCGGCCTGACGACACTGGAGGACAGGAGGGTCAGGGGAGACATGATAACGACATATAAAATACTGCGCGGAATAGACAAGGTGGACAAAGACGAGATGTTCCAGAGATGGGACACAGACACAAGAGGTCACAATTGGAAGTTGAAGACTCGGATGAATCAAAGGAATGTTAGGAAGTATTTCTTCAGTCATAGAGTAGTCAGGCCGTGGAATAGCCTAGAAAGTGACGTAGTGGAGGTGGGAACCATACATAGTTTTAAGGCGAGGTATGATATAGCTCATGGGGCAGGGAGAGAGAGGACCTAGTAGCAATCAGCGAAGAGGCGGGGCAAGGAGCTATGACTCGACCCCTGCAACCACAAATAGGTGAGTACAAATTGGTGAGTACAGAGTTGGTGACTGCAGGTCGAGGACCACACTGTACTGGCTCTGTACTTAACACTGAGACACAGAGTTGGTGAGTGCAGGTCGAGGACCACACTGTACTGGTTCTGTACTTAACACTGAGACACAGAGTTGGTGAGTGCAGGTCGAGGACCACACTGTACTGGTTCTGTACTTAACACTGAGACACAGAGTTGGTGAGTGCAGGTCGAGGACCACACTGTACTGGTTCTGTACTTAACACTGAGACACAGAGTTGGTGAGTGCAGGTCGAGGACCACACTGTACTGGTTCTGTACTTAACACTGAGACACAGAGTTGGTGAGTGCAGGTCGAGGACCACACTGTACTGGTTCTGTACTTAACACTGAGACACAGAGCTGGTGAGTGCAGGTCGAGGACCACACTGTACTGGTTCTGTACTTAACACTGAGACACAGAGCTGGTGAGTGCAGGTCGAGGACCACACTGTACTGGTTCTGTACTTAACACTGAGATATATAATTGACTTTATTGTCTATATTAAAAAGATAGATACACTAAACATACACGCAGACAGACTGACATACTCACTCATACCCACACACACACACACACACACACACACACACACACACACACACACACACACACACACACACACACACACACACACACAAACACACACCACACACACACACACACACACACACACACACACACACACACACACACACACACACACACACACACACACACACACACACACACTATAAAAGAGGGGACTACATAGGTTTGAGGAACTTCCTGCAGGAGGTTCAGTGGGACAGAGAACTGGTAGGAAAGTCAGTAAACGAAATGATGGAATACATAACAACAAAATGCAAGGAAGCAGTGGAAAGATTTGTTCCCAAGAGCAACAGAAACAATGGGGAGACCAGAACGAGCCCCTGGATTACCCAACGGTGTAAGGAGGCAAAAACTAAGTGCAGTAGAGAATGGAAAAGGTACAGAAGGCATAGAACACATGAAAATAGGGAGATTAGTCGCATCGCCAGGAACGAGTATGCACAGGTAAGGAGGGAGGCCCAGCGACAGTATGAAAATAACATAGCATCGAAAGTCAAGGCTGACCCGAAACTGTTGTATAGCCACATCAGGAGGAAGACAACAGTCAAAGACCATTTGATCAGACTGAGG